TGCGATATTCTAGTCAGCGTGGTTTGTCACTGGCGCTAAGAGCCAATGGGAAGGGGGCGATAAGAAAGGGGCATGTCGATCTATGGGGGTTTCTGAGATTTTATATTTGATATTTTCATATTTTCATATTATTTCTTTGATATTAATATTGTATTGAATTATATTTCTTTTCTTTTGCTTATGTTGGTATGTCTTTGAACTGCATTTTACATGTATACCATTATAGATACTACAATGTACACTACATCCTGTATCCTGATACACAGTACCACGCACAGCCCCCGGACTTGGCCGGTGACTAAGCCCGGATCTAGATGTCTCATGCTATTAATACACCTGCAGTTGAAACTCTTCAGATTTAGATGTGGCTCCAAGAATATGCCTCTTAAGGTGATCTGGTATCGCACTAAATATACAAAAACCAAAACCTGGAGAAAGCACAGGGCTGAAGATCGGAACCTCAGCCACTCACTCACCTTAGATTCCTGAAACTCCCGACATTTGCCAGACTTCCATTTGCCGGAGAAAATACGGGGGAAGAAGATCTCTTTCGCCACTTTCATTCTTCCTTGGAGAATCCCTGACCTAAATCTCCCGAGATGCATATTCTCTGTCCCATATAAGAATATACCTAGGTAGACTACAATGCTCTTACCTAAGAAAACGTACCCAAAACCACCCGCGGACTCGTGACTCTTATAGTACATAATTGAAATCACACATATGAATAACCAAAATGTCTGTTCGACCTGTAATACTGCTTTGATTCTCTTATCCATGGCCGGTGTCGGGGTGGTCCTAGCAGAACACTCTGATTGGTCCAATTAATAAGTCGACGGGGGTTTCGAGAACGTTTTGCCACGGTCCACCCCACTGGTCCGACTATGACTCGATCCCAGACGCGGCGTGGCTGGCTTCTCCAGTCAATGGAGTTGGGATGGAGTTTTTGCGGAGTTTGTGCGGACCTTGTATTACAGAGGTATAGTGGATGTACTCTATACCGGTCCGGCTCGCGTGATAAAGTACATGTGCGGCTACCCGGTCCGACCTGCTGCAGGAACAGATATAGATATACAAAGGTCTACGGAGTAGAGATAGTGCGTATAAAAAGTATAGGTACTTGGGAAAACCAGAAGTTCTAGCCATCTCACAAGCCACGCGATAACGAATCGCGCTATTGTCATTTGGTGATAGCTCCGAGGGCAGATCTCAGGAACCGCGGAGTACCTAGCCGTTCGCGTTGTACAGTCTCGAGGGCTATTTTCGCGACGCGCGCGTGATTAAAATTGTAAAAGCATACGATATATTACAATTCAAGGGCCAAAAAAAGAGAATCTAGAATTCACCTTGCTTTTTCGTCTACCGTTCCTCATGCACTTGCGAGATTTGCAGCTGATATGCGCTCGGCCCAAGGGCCCTGGCGCCGGTTTGCTAAGAAGCGTGACCAACGTATTACCGATTATCTACGGAGTACTCAGCATGGATATTTACATTTTGAGGGGAACATGTGTATCTCAGGGGGTAGGTAGACCCGGATAAGACGAGGAGCCCTATTTCGGAGAGAATGCCGGGATAAGAACCAGATATGGAAGGCCATGCGCAATATTCGGCTCTACATATAACATCCCCTGTAACTAATGCCTCTAATTGTATATATTGTACATCTTATCGGTCCAACGGGAGAAGAAGGATCATATTGCATTTCAGTGCATTTCACATAGTTTCATTACAAGGCCAGACCGCTGATTGGGGCACTAATTAGGGCTATCGCCAGTCAGACGGAGACTTGACTGGTTCGGGTGGCGGGAGCGGTTTGGTAGACATGTCAAAAGATGCGGAGGTGAAAGTCCGGAGAAGAGCTACATTGTACGGGAGTACGGAGTGCGGAGGATACAATAGAGTGCTGGTCGCATCTAGATTCGAATATAACAAATCAAACTGCTATAAGAGTAGATCTCTCGGCGAGGACCGGCGAAAGATGTCTAGATGATGCGACGATGATGACACGGAAGTTAACGAGTGGCGTTGAATTCGGTAAAAAAAGGTGAAACTTCACATTCACAGGCTACAGCGTTCCCTCGGCAGTGAAAGAAAAAAAACAAAAGGGTTGAGATAGTTGTTCTATTTTGATATTGAGGCATTAAAAATGTTATATTGAAAATAAGGGAGTACTAAAATAGAGTGAGGGCTTTTCTGTTCCCCCAACAACCCGGTTTCAGGAGAGAGACTGCCGACTACGCGCACAGTTTGTATGAGGTACTTTATCAGTACCCTGTATTGGGCGACCACTTTACTGTCACAATACAACGCTTAACCCTTTTAGGAAGTGGCTGAGCCGCGCCTTCCTGATTTTGCCAAGAAAAGAAATAAAAAAATTCAAAAAATTCAAAAAAAGAAATTCCCAAAAGGGAAAAAGTCAGTGACTAAATTTAAATTCTTTTTTTCTTTCCCAAGTTATCATCCCTCCCTTGCCCCTCCACATCTTTAAAACTCATTCTCTCCTCCTTTGGATTTTCCCATCCATATTCAATTTGCTTTTCTTCTCGAGGTCCCTATTTACCTTCCTTCGGGATCCTCTTTCAAAGTCATTGCTTGAAAACTTCGTTCTAAACACACATATCCATATTCACTATGGTACGGGTCATCTCTTCATCTCTCGTGTGTAGAACCAAATCTGACATCTTTTTCTCTCTACAGGCGTCCGAATCGGCAACTGTCATCTCCAACACGGGGAATGTGCGTTTGATTCTTGATTTTGGATTTCCGCAATGGCCTTCGAGCCAGCGAGGAATGACACATACTGACTGAAGCAGCTCATGAAGTACATGAACCTCGACCAGCGTGGTCGCATCCAGGCTGAATACGTTTGGATTGATGCCAACGGTGGCACTCGCTCCAAGACAAAGGTATGACTCATCTCAATCTGGTTCCCCAGTTCTTTATCTTCGGGACTACACACTGTGGACTTGTGGGGCGTGGTTGCTGCATGTTCTTATCTAGAGTCCCCTCTCGGGCCTTGATAAGCCCTGTGCACGGAGATTCTTGATTTAGCATGCGACGCAGCCACCCGCCGTCACGTGAGATAGCGCTCCTTCGGAACAACTCATTAACTCGACTCGTTCACAGACTCTGTTCAAGCCCGTCACGAGTGTCGATGAGCTCCCCGAGTGGAACTTCGACGGTTCCTCCACCAACCAGGCCCCCGGTGACAACTCCGATGTCTACCTTCGCCCCGTTGCTTATTACCCCGACCCCTTCCGCCAGGGTGACAACATCCTCGTCCTCTGCGAGACCTGGGATGCCGATGGAAGCCCCAACAAGTACAACTACCGTCACGAAGCCAACCGTCTGATGGAGACCAATGCCCACGAGGGCTTCTGGTTCGGTCTGGAGCAGGAGTACACTCTCCTCGGTACTGATGGATGGCCTTATGGCTGGCCCCGTGGTGGTTTCCCCGGTGCCCAGGGTCCCTACTACTGCGGTGTCGGTACCGGCAAGGTCTACTGCCGTGATATCGTCGAGGCTCACTACCGTGCCTGCTTGTACGCCGGTATCAACATCTCCGGTATCAACGCTGAGGTCATGCCCTCCCAGTGGGAGTACCAGGTCGGCCCCTGCCCTGGCATCGACAGTAAGTTTGGAAATCCCCGACAATAGAATATCACGAGACTAACTGTTTCTTAAGTGGGTGATCACCTCTGGATGTCCCGTTTCCTTCTCCACCGTGTCGCTGAAGAGTTCGGCGTCCGTATCTCCTTCGAGCCCAAGCCCATCAAGGGTGAGTGGAACGGTGCCGGTCTTCACTCCAACGTTTCCACCAACGCCACTCGTGCCGAGGGTGGTATGAAGGCTATTGAGGCCGCCATGAAGAAGTTCGAGGCCCGCCACGTTGAGCACATCGCCGTCTACGGTGAAGGTAACGAGGAGCGTCTCACTGGTCGCCACGAGACCGGTAACATTGACAAGTTCTCCTACGGTGTCGCCGATCGTGGTGGCTCCATCCGTATCCCGCGCCAGGTCGCGAAAGATAACAAGGGATACTTCGAGGACCGCCGCCCCGCGTCGAACGCTGATCCCTACCAGATCACTGGTATCATCGTTGAGACTATGTGTGGTGGCCTTTAAATGGATAGAAGGAATCATTTGGTCTTAGCGCTCCGATACCCTCGGCGTCAACCTGGGAGTCGGACCAGAGCGGCCTGACTGCGTGAGGGAGCCCCCATAGATGCTCTGTGATCTGCCTTTTCTCTCTTCCTCTTCCTGTCTTTCTTCTCCTGTTCTGTCCTTTACTTTCTCCCGGTTCCAGTGTCCGCCTATTGCGTCCTGCTGGCCCTCCCTCGTTGCACCAGCCGCACTTATTTTTTTTTCGTTTTTTTCTGTTTCTCTCGACTACCCTTCGCAGGGTAATGTGACACGTACAATAGCATAGAATATTCATGGATGGGAAAAACCGCACCATCGTTTATCGAGAGATATCATACTGATATCATTCCTCTGGAGAATCGACAATTAATACCAAGTTTCAATTTTGCACTGACCCTCACCTGCTTGGAGTAATTTTCGTGTTTGTTTCAACCTGAGCTCTTGTACTTTTCTGAATTAGTCCCATTGGTCTTACTAGATTAGAGTATCTCGCTAGATCGCCTTCGTGACACATGGGAGGATCTTGAACTCAATCTAGTATCACATTCCAGCATCCAATGGAAGTCTTCTTCCCTTATGCAGGGCATGGACTCCCACGTGTATGACCGTCTCAAATAGCCGAGCGCGATCAACGCCCAAAAATCATGGAAGTGGAATAGTTCAATTCATTTAATTGCCTTATGAAGCAGGGTATTCCCGAAAAGTGTATGTCCAAATTAGATGTATTCACTCTCTTCTAGTTCTATAGAAGACTCCCACAGCAGCAAAATTAGAAGAAATATAGCAACACTTTTACCGTCCCGCCGCGGCCACACCACAACATACACAGATTCTACCTAGCACTCACCTTCCCAGCCTCAACCAACGCCTAACACCAGCCCCCAACCCATGCAAACCACGCTGACGCACCTCCCGCCTCCCGCCCCATCAACCGCGCCATCAGCCCCATCACCACGATACCTCCCATCAACAAAACGCAACAAAGCCTCCATCAACGCCGCAGAGAGAATACTGCCCGCCAGAATCCCAATCATGACGAGGTTACTCTTCCTGTACTTCTCACGGCCCGGCGCCTCGTAGTCACTCTTCCACCCGGAATACAGCGCATACGTCGTGAGAATACTACCCAGATTACCGAGTCCGGAGACAACAGCCGACGCAGCAGCGACGCCGACCTCGCCGTGTCGAGGCTGGAATATCTCCGTCGTCCAGGTCATCGTTATCGGGACTGTTGGGCCGAGCCCGAATCCGACGATTAGGAGTCCGCCGTACCGCGGCCATGGGTTTGCTTCTGTGCCCGCGTAGGTGGTTAGGAGGAGGCCGAGGATTTGTAGGAGGACGGGGATTGAGAAGAAGATTGCGCGGTGGCGGTGGAAGCGGTCTGAGAGGGGTGTTACTAGGAGGATGGCGATGAGGTCCATCTGGGATGTGTTAGTTGGTGGATCTTGGAGAGCCAAAAGAAAGACCCAAAAAAGAAAGAAAGAAAGAAAGAAAGAAAGAAAAGGAAAACATACAATCCAAATCGGAGCCGTCAACAGACTCAAAGAAACATCACTCAGCGTCGGGTCGATAGCCTTGATAATCAAGTTCGCGTACAACTGCACGCCAATACCAACACCCACAACACCAAAGTACATAACCAGCAGCGGATACAATCTCCAATCCAAAAACACCGCGAGCAGATCCCGCAGCGTCCACGCATTCGAGTGATAAACACGCTTCAGATCATGGTAATGCACGACCGCATCGGCGCCCTTCAGCGCAGGCGCGGTGGCCGGCACCCAGCGCATCAACCGGGCGCGTTTTGGCGCGGGTTCGCCCGGCGGCGTGGGTCTGTCTGGTAACCACCATAGCAGGGCGAAGCCCAGGGCGACGGTGATGACGCCGTAGACGAGGAACATCCACTGGAAGCCGACGAGGCCGTGGGCGCCGTCCATTTTTTGGAAGCCGGCGGAGACGAGCCCGACGACTGCGGCGGAGACTTGTGAGGCTGTGAAGTATTGCCCGATTCGTTTGCCGATGCGTGAGGGCGGGTAGAATAGTGTTAGGTAGTATGTCATCCCCGGCCACATGCCTGCTGTGACGATACCGAGGAGGAGGCGGAGGAGACTGGGTTTTGTTAGATACGATATTATATAATATAAGGGGTTTGGGGGGTAGACGTACTAGAAGCTCCAGGCTGCTTTCATGGCGGCGAGACAGCTTCCGATTAAACCTACGCTGATCACGATGCGGCTCATCCAGACGTGGGGGCTTAGGCGGGTCATGATTAGGTTTGAGGGGAGGTCGAAGACCACGTAGCAGACGTAGAAGAGGGCGAGACCAGTTGAGATCTGTTGTCGGTTTAGGTTGAGCACGCTTCCCAGGTCATGGCCGGTGTCTGTGTTCATTGTCTGTGCTAGGCCTACGTTGGACCGGATGGCTGAACAGAGGAAGTAGAGGATCCAAAATGCGGAGATGATGCGCCGGTCCAGTTTTCTGTTGCATGTTAGATTCTGTGATTGGAATGTTTCTTGGAGATGTGAATCACCTGTAGATTCGTTCGATGTTGGCCACGCTGTGGTCCTCGGAGTCGATGTCGTCCGAGGATGTCTGGCTTTGAGGCGTTTCTGGCTGCTCCGAGATATCCTCGGAGACAGGTTGCTTGTCGATACCGACAGAGGCATGTTGATGTTCGGTGGACATCTTGTCGTTTTATTATTATTATGTGTGTATAAAATTCTAATTCGGCCTCTTTGCGGGCAAGCAGTCAACTGACTGTACCTAAGCGCTGGCTAAAGTAGTGCCAATTGAAGGACACCAATAGCCTGGAGCCCGGATATCAGAGGGAGTTCTGTGGATTATGAGTCAGTGGAATTCATGTATCAATTTCTCTCGGAGTCCTTTACCGAGGCCAGAGGTAAACATACGTTGACTTGGACGGGAAAAAAAGGAAGATTCCGTTTTCGGATCTGATAAAGAGAGAGGGGTGGATCTTGGCGGAGAGAAACACCTGAACTCCCCCCGATATATAAGGAAGTCTTATAGTCTTAGACACGAAATCGCGTGACTCATAGACTCAAATATCCGAGAATAAATTCCAAAATGCCTGAAATTAAGATTGAGGTTGAGGTTGAGGGAAAATCCTTCCCTTTTCCCCAACGAGCTCCCGAGCTCTTCACCGAGGATAACCTTAAATCTTTTTTTTTCCTTTCCCGAGGATATCCTTACCTCCTATGGATGGTCCGTTCTATATATATGTATTAGTGTTTTGGTTTTATATTTCTACTTTGGCTCTAGTCCCTTGCAGAGCTGGTAGCTGTCAGAAGCTGTCAGAATGCTATAAACATCCATGGATACTATAAACACACTATTCAGCCATATTCAACAGTCAAAATAGCACGCCAAGCGATGACTCAGAACTACTGAAATTCTAGCAATTGCAATTCTTACAATTGTTAGAATTCATGTTATCTCCTTTATGTATTCTCATTAGCATCATCATCTTGATCGCCGGTCTCGGTGCTATCACGTGCTCTCTCAGATATCCCAATCGGGTGATGTTAGGGCTCGGACAAACGCTGCCGTTCTAAAAGACGCATTGCTCTCAGAGCTGGCTACTGAAATCGAGAACCTTAAACGCGAGTTGATAGCGACAAGGCATCGAAATGGCATTTATATGACTCCAGACGCGCATGAAGAGTTGGTGAAGAAGAAAGAATCCCGGCGGATCATCAACAAAGAGCAGAAGGAGAGGATCGAAGTTTTGGAATCTGTGGTCCAACATAAGGCAGAAGAGCTGCTTGCGCTGACACGTCAGCTCCAGAATTTCGAGTCTGACAACAAGGAAGCTCATTCGGAGATCAATCGAATGAACGATGCTCTAAACAAGGCTCACGATGCATGGCAGGGGTCTGTTACAGAGGTCTCAGACGTCACCGAGAAGGTGGAAACCCGGATGAAAAATTTCCAAGCTCACCAGAACAGACTATTACAGGACTTCTCGGCCAATGTCAGTCATTTCTTTGAAAATGAGATGACGGTTGTTCAGAAGAATCGGAGTCTCCTCCACGATGCACTTCTTACAGTCGAAAATATCGAGGTGAAGTTCAGAATGCAACCATTGAAAGGCGAGACAGAAGAAGCTTTCCACGAGCTCAAGCAAATCAGTAACAGAGTCGGGGCGATGGTTTGTGAGACTGTAGATGAACTCTCTCAAGCAATTTCCCGGGTATCTCAAGGTTTTCAGGATGGACTATCGAGGTGCAACAACCAGGTACAACTTCCCGTATCTTTTCATAAGGACTTGGCTGATTGGCTCAGTTTGACTTGACCTACAACACACTCGATAAAGATGTTCAGTCTACATTTAAGTCAATCCTCAAAAATGTTGAGGAGCAAAATGTTGAGACCAATAAGCTACGGTTTCAGCTGCAGGGGGCCAATTCTCGATTGATAGACATGAACCACAAGACATCACTTGATGTGGCTCGACTTCTGGAGGAGGAGCGTACAGGTGCAGAAGCAGAGCGCCAAAAGTTTCTGTCCCAAATTAGTGCACTCTATGACCTTTCACTCCAGCAACGATGGGACCGACTTCAAGGGAGTTATGGTATTATCTGCAGTGACATTTCACGCTCTGGGAGTCTGATCGAAGAAATTGCGAGGGATAGCCGCATTGATGAATGCATCGCAAGGCAGAAGCAATTCGATGTAGAGCTCGTTGGTTTAAGGGGCCAGCTCGAAGTGCGTATGAGGCAGGATAGGAAGGTACAGTTTCTGATTCTTTTATAGGTTGGATATTCGCTAACCGGAAGCAGACTGTCCATGAACAACACCTTTCAGTCCAACAAGCAGTAGTATCTGCGAATCAGGATCTACAGCGAACTATGGACGATCATGAGAAGGGTATTGGCGGACAGGTGGATCTCTGGGCTCAAAATTGGGAAAGACGCAATCACAGAATAACCATCTTCACATGCGTATCTTGATAATTTGAATACCTTGGAGACCACTATGCACCAATCATACTCGACGATGAGCGAACAACTTGGAACAGTCGTCGAGAGTGCTGGGAAGTTTCAGAACGACATGTCACTGCACTCGGACACGTTGAAACAACCTATCGCCACTTTGGAGAACGATATTTGCCAGCCGCTCTCACACGTGCGGGCGAGCATCCGGGGTTGCTCGTTGCTAACGACTGCATCTCTGAGACAACCCGACTACACTACTACCTTTCCTCGCCATGATGCTCTCCACTACCATGTATCAAGCCATGGAAAAGGAGCCTCCACCACCCATTCACCGGAAGCCCCATTGACATCTTTGGTGAACAAAAGACCTAGAGAACAGGACTTCAGTGATAGGCCAGAGGCGACCCGTAGCGAGCAAGAACGCACTCCTTATGGGATATCTGAGAATCTGGCTGAGCCACCATGCTTGGAAGTCACATCTGAAGCCCGTCTCAAACGACGTCGCCTTTGAGAATACAAAGTGCCGCCGACATTTCATCCTACCCGTAATCATATTATTCGCTCGTTCATAATGTACATCCATGAGCGGTATGTCAAAGAGATTGATAAGGTATCTAGCATATTGCTTTCCAATGAATTAAAACGGGGCCAGACGCTCTTGAACTTCAAGCCTGTCGCCCCAAGATCGAGCAATACCGGGCAAGCCATGGGTGAACTGGCTCACTGTGTCCAAGAGCAGCGATCTCAATTGGAACAGAGAATGGCTACCTGCGAAATTGAATCCACTGAGCTCCAGCAGCTTCCGTTTTACCCTTCCCTGTCTATTCCTGATACTTCCACTTCTCACGATTCCACTACTCACGATTCCACTACTCACGATTCAACTTCTCCTTATATACGAGTATTCCTTAGGCTTAAGCCCCCTTCAACACTCGTCCTCCCCAGTCTCTATCTTGCGCTCATCGAATGACCACACGATTTTGAGAATCCCTCGCATAACAGGTCCGTGAGTGGTCACGCGAAGAAAATGGCTAGTCCGCCGATGATACAGACCACGCGGGTACAGCTATACTCCGGTATATACGTAGTAATCGGCATAGACGGCGAGGAATGGCAACCCAAAGGCCCGCAGAACAATGGGCTCTCCCATCGGCCACCTAGTCGGTTTGACGTCACCATCCTAGTTGAAGTCGGCAGGCCAACGGACATGGCGTTGGCGGATGGGGACGCCCGTGGCAATGACCGAAAAACGGGAGCATCGGGCCTCTCAGAATTTGTATGTGCAGCGGTATTGGAAGTGAGAGAATGCGGGTGTTGTCAAACAGCAGATTAATTCGTGAGGTAGCGTCTGCTGCAGATCTCCTTGGTCTTCTATGGTGATAATGTTAGTGGATCTAATAACACCTCGCGGTGGACTATACTCACATGGGTGGTATCGTTAGCTGTTGACGCTCCACTCGCGCTGGTGCGAAGTGACTACTGGTCCACTGTGTTGGTATATTGAATCAGAGCAAATAGCTCCCACTTTATATATGAGCGTAATGGATAATCACGCTCTGTGTAGCCATATCTTCGAGGGAGCTGTGTCCCCTTTCTTCCCCTTGTTTCCCTTGGGTGTTCTGTTTGAGTATGTTTTCAGCCAACGTTTTAAGACTCCATGTTCGGCGCATGAATAGGACATTCGATCTCATTCGATTCAATGAGGTGAGTGTAGAAAGGAGTCTTCCGGAAGCAAGCAAACAAATAGGAAACGAAAGGAGAGATTTGAGTCAAACGCACATTTATATAGGCATCGCAGTTGATAAGTCCGACACGAACACAGCCGTGGGCGTGGCCATCACATTCCTAGGAAAGATGACGAGAGCTTCCTGGTGAAGCCACTTCAAATATTTCTCCATGTCCTTCAGCTAGTCTCGGTAGAACCAATGGTAATGCAAAGCGTTCATTATGGCTTCCTTCTTGTCCATAAGGCGCGCGATCCCCTCGTTTATCCACGATGGCGGGTGTGGCGAGGGTCCGCTTTGAGAGCTTTGAGAGCTCTTCCAGTTGAGCGTGGGCGACGGGATGGGCCGAGTGTCGGCCACTTTATCCGTGTTAGCTGAGTTGGAAGGGAGTCGGAGTGTATCTCACTGGTTAAGGATGTTCGGTAACTGGGAGAGGTGGTTATGGTTAAATTGCACTGTAGCCATATCTGTAGTGGGTATGCAAGTTGGGTATATACTTCCTTTCAGGTAAACCTGCTTATATATATCCATAGACACAGAGCAAATAACCCGTAGTCATCTTGCCTTTGTATATAGCACCTTTTCCCCATTCCAAAATAGCTGAAGGTGGAATGAAGAAATGACAAGAGAAGTAGAAGGGCTATCTATATACGAAAGTAGCTCTTTGTTTGACAAAGAGGCACAGCAAACACGAAATACTGCATAAAATAAATCGCCAGTTCCAAGAACACCTGACCTTTCGCAACATCAACAAAGGCTACCAAGCCTAGATGCCTACATTTTTGAGTCTCTTCTTGGTCCTATACAGCGAAGCCCGTAAAAGAACCCAAAAAAGCGGCTTGAGCCCGGCGCCAAGCAGGGCCACCTCGTATTTGCGAGCAACAGACCCAACCAGCACAGGCAAAATGCCCCCGTATTCCCGCGAATACGAACAACAACCTTAAACAGACTCTCTCGGGTGTTTACCTTCAATTCAGCCGCATAGATGTATCAACTCTCCGTGTACTCCGTACAACATATAAAATGGCAGTTCCACCCCGACCTCCCCATTCTCCAAAGAGAACACCAGCAGGGTGCATCCAAGCCCAGCTACAAACTACCCAATCTCTATATTATACCCCCATAACTTCACCAAAATGCTCTCCCCACTCCCCTCCCTCACAGCCCTAGCGCTATCCCTCCTGCTAGCCAATATAGCAACCAGCACAACCACCGAAGACACACCCCAACTCTTCACCAACATGACCCTGACCACAGACGACGTCTTCTCCCTCTTCGACACCCCACTAAACACCCGCGACCTGCAATGTCGCGCCGGATACAGCCAATGCGCCTACAACTCCCGGCGCTGCTGTCCCACCGCCGGGAAATGCTGCGGGAACGGGTACTGCGCCGATGCAGGCGAGACGTGCTGCACCGGCGGTGGGACGTGTCGGGTTGGGTATAAGTGCTGCGCTGGGTCGACGGGATGTGCGCCGAATGATGGGCAGTGCTGTACCGGTGGTTACTACTGTCCTGCGGGGAAGATGTGTCGTATCTATAATGGGCGCAAGGTTTGTTGTCCGTTGACGGGTTGTTCGGGGGAATATGATGGGATTGGGTCTGGGGGGTCGCTTACGGGGTCGGATACTACGTCTACGTCTACGTCTACTGAGACCGAGACGGAGACGGCGACGACGACTTATGTTGATGTTGATTGGGATTATTATTATACTACTATCTACTGGTATGTGTTTGGTTTCGTTTGGTTGGTGTCTTGCATGGTTTGCTGACTTTTATAGGACTTATTGGTTCTACTACTGGACTTCTTATGCCCCCTACACTGTTCGGACGGTTACTTCTACTACCACCACTACTCGCACTGTCTTCTCTGTTTTTGCGTCGAATAGCGCCGAGGCGACTTCTTCGCTTAGGGAGAGCTCCTCTAGTTACTCGTTCTCGACTCCTTACGAGGCGACTTCTCTGGCCCGCTCGTCGGACCCTGTCACGTTGAGAACGGGTGCCTCTGCTCCGTCTGCTACTTCGTCGCTTGATTCAACATATGGGATTATTGCAGGGGCAGGTCCACTCAATGGGGAAGGTTCTACTGGTTCTGCTGCGAGTGTGAGCATTATTGGGAATGGCATTGGCATCCTGGCTGCTGTCTTGGCTGCTGCAATTGGTGGATTGGCCTTTGGGCTGTGAGGAGCTTGGACAGGGTGTGGTTTAAGGCATTTGAAGTTCAATGGGGTCATTTGTGATTGAATTCTATCGCTGATACTTTGATCCACACGATGTTTATATAATAAGCAATACTTAATGACTGTATTCCGTAATTCATGAAATATCCATCCAGCATCCGATATAGATACTGAGTCATTGACTAATATCAGCAAAATCGTTGAAGTGAGCAAAGAAGAGCAAAGAATCAGCCTTCTCAAAAGGCTTAGCTACTGGCAGACGAGCTGTGCTTGCGGTGCTCAACATGGGTACCCTTTCCAGCCTCCACATCGCCCGTTCCACTAACCAGCTTGTTATTCTTCTCTGAAACATAGCTGGCGCGGCGCAGGTGCTCCTGAGTGTCCTCATAGTTGATGAGAAGCTCGCCGTTCTTGCCGTAGCGGTGGGGCTCATTGCGCGCAACCGAAACGACATTGAAGACGCTGGATGTCTTGTGGAAGATTGTGTCCATCTCCTCCAGGGATCGATAGGCAGTCTCAGGGTAGAAGAAGTAAACGACAGGAACGATGAATGCATTGCTATTGGGAACTGAGTTAGTAGTGTGCCAAGTCCATGTCGCTCAGAAGATGCTCACATGACAGCAAATATAATGTACGTTTTATACTTGATTGAGTCAAATGCAACGGGCGTGATCATGACAACCATGAAGTTGAAGATCCAGTTAGCCGAGGTTGCGAGTGCGTTGGCGGGAGCACGGATTCGTAGAGGCACCTATGGCGTTGTTAGCGATGTTCTGTTGGGAAAGAAAGAGACGAAAGTCTTACAATCTCAGCAGGATAGAGCCAGGTCATCCCCAGCCAGCCAAAGGCAAAGAATGTATTGAAGACAAACAAGAACACGGCCGCAGCAATACCAGGCTTGCTCTGGCCCTCAAAGCTAGTGGTGGCGGCCAAGACGGCCATGGAGATCGACATGCCAGCGGCACCGATCAGCATCAGAACTCGTCGGCCCACCTTCTCAATAATGAATATGGGGATCAAAGACGCCAAAAAGTATTCAGTGCCGTTGCAGGCAGCTAGAATGCGCGACGTCAGGCCATCCATACCGAGGGAGTTCTCATAAATGGTAGCAGCGTAGTAGGTAATCAGGTTGATACCAGAGATCTGCTGGAACATCTGGTTGACGTAGGCAAGTACAACACGGTGGAAGTGGCGGTTCTCATCCATAGTGAGCAAGTCACGGAAGCTGACACTCGAGGCAGCCAGGACTGCATCCTTGATAGCGGAAAATTCCGAGTGGACGTAGGGATCGCTCTCATCCAAGTCGAGAATTGCCGAGAGAACCTGCAAAGCTTCCTGTTCGCGGCCCTTGAGAATCAGCCAGCGAGGTGATTCGGGGAGCGGCAGCACGAAGACTAGGATGACCAGCGCGAAGACGTTTTGGAAGGCGATTGGGAAACGCCACGCAACAGAGCTAGGGTCAAGGAAGGAGAATCCGAGGTCAAGCCAATAACTGATCGTAATTCCAGCAGCAATCAAGGAGCCCTCGAACATGACAAGTTTTCCGCGGTGGTGGGACTTGGAGCATTCTAAGTAATATAAGCATTGTGCTTCATCTTCAATAACGCCAAATACTTACCAGACTGCCATGTAGGGACGGTAGAGGTGTTCATGCCGTTGCCGATACCAGTGACAATACGGCCGACCACGAGATGCGGCACCGAGTAAGCACAGGCCTGCAGTGTAGCCCCGACCACCATGATGATGGAGCCAGCAAAAATCGTCTTACGACGACCGAGGTAGTTTCCTACCCAGATACAGAGGACTGCGCCGAGGAAACAGCCCAGGTTATAAGAGGCGATAGTGATTCCTGATACATTAGTTATGAATGAATATAAGGTTTCCATGAAGTCACTATCCCTGTGTAGTCGCATTGTTACTTGTCGATGAATGCGATTTCGTGGTGTCGATTTCAGGGAAGACCGTAATGAATGAGTTCAATGTCAACAGACCTCCCATAACACCTCTGTTGACTGTTAGCAAGAGAGCCCCACTCGATCTCTCATGTATAGCTTCCGGTCACATACTGGTCATATCCAAATAGCCTGTCAAATTCCACGTTAGTGCTATGTGTCTCGACAGATAACTGAAAGACCAACATACAGGAAATCAAGACCAGCAATAACGCCGATCATGATATTCAGATTCGTGCCCCGAAGGCCGAAGTATGGCTTCATGATGCCGGATATGGTGAGTAGGTTGTTTATAGAAGGATCAGGTAAAAAGGAAGGAAGTCCGACTATTTGCTAGAAGTGAATTTGAAATGGACAAACAGAGGGGAGAAGAGAAGAATCGATTCAAGTGAGCTCTGGGGTAGTCGAGGTTTATGAACATCAAACAAGGAGCCCTGGAGAGGTCCACATCGAATGATCAATGACTTTGGAACCAAATCGGAACTCAGAACCAGTAAAAGACAAGCCAATGAGAATTAGGGACAAGGTTGCATTGATGATGTCTATTCCATGGCCTGATTGGGAGGGGGGGGCAACTATGCTTTCCGTCTTTCACGGCCGAGTACAACATGTCCATATTATTTTAGTTATTTTACAGGATCCACCAGGCAATCGGCGTCAAAAAAAAGGTGCATTTGGCCATGCGAAGCCCCTCGCATGGAGTCTCCGTCCGGTATTACTACATGTACATAACGTGTATACAGTATTGTCTCGGTACTGTAATACTCGTGGCATCAAACATTTCAACCGAAAAGGTATGGACTTATAGACTCAGGTACTTTCCCGACTCTGTTTCCGTCGATGAATATGGAGTGTATGACAACTGCACGGGTCACAGAGTTTTCGCGTGGTTTCAGGTACTTTTGTCTTTCAATTGGAATGCCATTTGACGAAAACCTGGAGATTCTCCAGGTTCCCCCGGACTCCCCCATTTTTTTTTCCTCCGCTGATCTTCGCTGAAAAGGACTACATACAACATACAACATATTATCAACTTTAAGAACTCGGACTACAGTGCACAGTTGCCTTGCGCTCATTACGTGATTTTTACCTTTTCTGCACCCGTTCGCCAAGCAGGCTTGGCAGGGATGACAAGGGGTTCACGAACTTTCCATATAAGCCTCACGGCGGACCGACATCAGGTCCCGAAAACCACCTGGGCAGCTACCGACGCGGAAGCCAGCGATGACATCATCGACAATTAATCCCATGTCCAAAAAAGGTAGGTGCTTTCCATCCGACTCTCTGGATCTCAGGGACATTTTAGAGCGTCCCCAAAAAATCTGTAGTTCGGCGCAGGCCGAATCACGGGGTTCCCGAGAACACGGGATGCCCGATTCGGAGATGCCAATGTATCAAACTGCAACACTGTATTTACACGATGCTACCCAATTATGCAGTTTAGGCTTTAGTATTAGGGTACTTTGTCATTGAAAAAAAAGAGTGCCAATAGCAATAACTATTACTCATTATAATATTTTCAAAGGGAATCCCGAAACTTACCAGTTCAAGTATAAAGAATGCCAGTTAGGGCGGAATCCCAGATTCGGTCCACAGTGCATCCCGGTAATGACATGGTAATGACACATACATACATGTAATACCAACTCAAATAGCCCTGGCCATGCTCATAACGACGATCAACTAGGAAACAATAGTCAATGATCGACGGAAGTCTCACTGGCGCTCGCGTGTCATCGGAATCATGGCGTACGGTTACTCAAGTTGGCGTAAGCCGGCTTGGCTAGCGTCGACTCGGGAAATTTGATCAGGCCGAACTGAGGAATGCCGTGATAAAGTCGGGATCAGTACACATGGCATCTTTGTACCGTCTAACTCAAGATTTAGTGCCGTCATACACTTATTTCTGTAATACTACTATGTACAACCTAGCAAGCGTTCGACCTCATAGGATCTTGCTCAAGTCTACACCCAAGAAGAATGCACTAAATCGACGTTTCATTGCAATTGAACTTGCCAGCCAGATAACAATGAACGTCAGAAATGTCCCCAGATCAGAGCCCTCCTGCCCAGACCCTCCATCCTCAGGCTCATCCAGAGACAGCGTCAAAATCAAATCGAGCTCAGCAGAGCATGAAAGGTCTTAACAAATATCCCCCTTTGAGACCCGCGGCCGGTCAGCAATCACTGTGAAACTCCTGGGTAGAATCCTGACTAACATCAAATACAATCGTGAGATTCGAGAAAAGAAAAAAAGGAACCGATAAGCAGCGAGCATAGACCACATATGTAACATCGGGTTCTTGTCCATATCGGGACACCATAAGGCATCCCAATAACAGTCAACACCCGACAATTCCACATGGGGCCGCTCACAACAGGGGGAAGCCAAATTGCTGACGCTTTTAAAGCTTCACAGGCCCATTTCGGCATGGAAATGTAGAATTACCACAAGTCGTCATTGTTGTTGCGCTTGAATTCGAACGCTTCCCCGCTTGCCTCTGGGCCGAGCAAATCAGGCTCTTCACGTTGAGGGGAGCCAGGAGAGAAGGTAGGTTCGTCCTGAGGATCCTCATCTTTCGGTGCCTGACGGCAACGGACAACGGTGTGACCCACTAAATGGCTGTTAGCAGACTAACTCAAGTATTAAGAACACATGTGTGATCAACCCACTTTCGCCGCAGTTCTTGCACTGGACCTTCGACCAATCCTTAGGCTGATCACAATCACGAGAGTAATGTCCGGCTAAAATAGTAGTTGTCAGTTCTGTACCGCCAAAGAAAAGGAAATCTTCCATGGCATGCACCACACTTACTCTTTTCGCAGTTGCGGCAAGTGACAGTAGAAACATCACGAGGTTGATCACAGTCACGAGCAATGTGGTCTTCGGAACTGCATTTATATTAGCACCAGCGGCAACCCCAGGGCTCCGATTATAATATTTCAACATACCCGCAATCCGGCAGGTGCGAGGGCCACGATCAGCGACATTCGGGCAATCTTTGGCAAAATGGCCAGCTAAAACAGATGTGTTAGCATCATTAAATATATGAATGGTTTTGGCCAAGGTCTTGTCATACTTTCGTTGCATTTGCGGCACTCAACATCAGCCGCGGATCGGGGCTCGGTGCACTCAGAAGCAATATGCTCCACAGATCTTCACAGAAGTCAGCCGTTATCCAGTTCGTTGTTTGCATTGCAGCCACATACCCGCAGTTACGGCAGCTATGCTTGTTCTTGCGCTGCTGTCTGCAATCGCGCACGCGGTGTCCAACCCCATCACAGTTTGAGCACTTGATTTCCACACGATCGTTGCCCTCCGCGCGCTCCTCCTTGCAACTGCGCGAGATATGTCCCAACTCTAAACATAATGGTTTAGCAACGTTCTTGGGAATCTGCAATCAAAGTGAACACCTACCTCCACAGTTCAGACACTTAGGCACCTTGCGCTCGTAGGGGATACCAGCGTTGTTCATGCGTTCGAGGTTGTCCTCGGCATCCGCAGGCCAACGGTCTCGGAGGTGGCCACGCGACGGCTTCGAGCTAAAAAAGAATCCAATCACGTACTCACGATCAAGGACTCCCTGAAGATCGATAAGGCTCATGACATCGTCAACTTCGGTCTCCTGTAGTCAAAATTCATTCATGAGTAATTCATCCCGAAGTATCAAAACGACAATGATTGATTACCATAGCAATGATGTAGATGCTGAAGTCATCATCTCGCATCTTCTTCTCAATGTCCGCCCAGGTGGCGTGGGGGACTGCCTTGGAGTAAATTTTGAGTGCCTGGAGTTAGGTCAGCCAAAGCTCACAACTTTTCAAGGTCCGTATGGATTTTTGGTACCTCGCGGAAATCATCAAGGTCCCTTTCGTCACTGGCTTTCTTCATTGCAGCCCAGGCTTCGTGGGGAAGCATATCAGCAACGAGGTTGAGATCGAACTTGCGATTCTCCTTGCATTCCATCGTCTTGTGGCCTTCAGCCTGGCAGTTCTTGCAGACATCGGGGGGGTCTCTCGGGACAATCAACAGCTGGGTGACCTTCCTTTTCACAGATACGGCAGGTGCCCTTGAACACGCGGGGCTTAGTGCATTCGGACTTGGAGTGACTGTTTTAAGTCAATTAGCAAAGTACAGTACAAAGCATTCAGCAACGACTCACCCTTCTTCGCCACAGTTGAAGCAAGGACCCATCTTGCGAGGCTCGGTGCATTCGGCCTTGGAGTGACTGTTTCGGGAAAACAATTAACGACGTAACAAATGAGATGTTCAATAATAGCTCACCCTTCTTGGCCACAGTTGAAGCATGCACCCGTCTTGCGAGGCTCGGGACACTCGGCCTTGCTATGGCTGCATTGTCATCAGTACAATTTAGCAATACATACAGGACAACGACTTACCCTTCTTGGCCACAGTTGTAGCAAGCGCGGTCACCACCACCGGCGTATTCACCATAGCCTCCACCATTGCCGTCGTTGTAGTTGCCATAGGCATCGCTGTATTTCAGCATTGGTTAGATGGGCTAGCACAACATGACCTGGAAAGTGCAGGACCAACTTACCCTGCATTGCTGTCTCTAGCTCCCAGAGGAACAGAGTCATTCGGGCACTGGCGAGTCATGTGGCCAGGTTCACCACACCTTGAGTTTGTGAGTGACTGGAGTTCCTGGGGAAATTTCCCGAGCCTTGAAATATAGACTATTGGGAGGGAGAACTCACTGTCCGCAGGTGAAGCCATCGTCATGGGCTCCATGGATATTCTCCATTTTGGTCAACTTGATAAATACGCTCGTTAGCCAAATCCCCAAAGCAGTATCGTCGTTGTGAAAGTCTCCTTCACCAGGGCGAAGGAATGAATGGAGAGGGAGGCCGGGAAGTCGCCAGAGAAGGCAGAGAGAGGCAGATAAGACAAGATCACAGGAGAATCGGAACACGATCTTTTCGCATGGATCGCTCTTCTAGGACCATCGAGAAAGACGGTGCAGAGTCAACGCGAAGAATGACACTTACCAACGTGGTTGTCGATGCGCAGTAGACGCGAAGGCTGTTTGTTGACGAGAATTGAAGGTAGACGGAGAAGGAAGAAAAAAAGGAAGAAGAGGCAGAGGGAAGAGGAGGATAAGGAGAACAAAAGACAACCGGCAAGAGACGCTGAGGTGGAAACTGCCCGTTTGAGGAAGGAGCGATGTGCTGACCTGCCTCAGGCAACGGGCTTTATCTATGAAGCAACTTCTACTAGACTGGATGCTCCATCACATTGGAGCTACAAATGAGATTCCATCTTTCGAAAAGAGATTGCATGCATTTGAATGGTAAGTGGTCAAATATTCTGCTAGAAATACAGAGCACATGCAAAGGAAAGACGATATAGGGCCACTAACGGCAAGACAGACATCAACCTGCGTACCATTACCGGAATAGCCTGCCCAGCAGGCCACCGGCGATGTTGTTCACAATACCACCACCCAAAGCCGAGTTGGCATATGTGGAGGCCTGACCAAATTTATCACAGCGAGAGAAGGCCATGGTATTCGTGATAGTCAAGATGAGTGCAATAACTAGACCAAAGTCAATACCTAGTCCCGGCGTATATCAAAGTATCTTGGGAGTAGCTTACCAATTAGACTGAGCCAAATAACTCCCACAAGTCTCACAATGGCCAATATCGCAAGGCCAACCCACAGAGCTGGTGTGACGTACAGGCTCAGCCAGAAGAACCGCTTGTCAGTGGCTGTCACAGTGCGAACGTTAGGGTCGGATGATTCGAAGACCCATTTGGAGTCGCCGGTGGAGGTGTCAACCTCGTTCCACCAACGTAAGCCGACCAGCCGGCGTCCCGCAATGTTTTTGAGGTAGTAGAAGTCCGCAGAGAGGAGGAGAAGGGTGAAAATGAAGACGAGGATACTAGATGGAGGTTAGCATGCGGGTTGACAGGTGGGTAGATCAGCGCAGGGTCCGTACAAGTCATCGATGAAGAGTACACCAAATAGATACATCAGTAGCGCACCTAATCATCAAGTTAGTCAAATCATTCTTGCCACTGTTCCCCGGGGCGGGGGAGCACGAACCGATCCGAATTCCCAAGAAGACAAGTAGCGTGATCGGGTGCGCGCTAAGGCGCCAGTTGAGGTCACCTTGACCTCCTTGTCCTTGGTCCATGATTTGCAAGGTGGAAGGTTTGATGTGATCGGAATGTAAAGGACCTCTCGGTCAGCAGATTGGGTCAATTTGATCCAAGTTAGGTATGTTGTTGACTGATGATACTCCCTATGTGGTCGAAACACGGGTGCAGGCGGTTTCTTGTGGCAGAATAATCGCAGAGCAGAAGCATAGACCAAGTAGATTTATTGTCGATGTATAGTTTCTGCTCAGCCAAGGGCTGCAACATCTATCTAGCGTATTGTGAAAATGTCTATTATTTAGGGACTGTTAACTAAGTTCTATACGAAGATCTGGTCAATATTCCTACTTCTATACATCTCTAAAAACATCCACGTGATTACACTGAGTGGATACCGGTCGTCGAGTTATGTCCATCTGGGCAACATATGTGGCGCTAAGCCGAACAAGACACATAGTTTGATCTATATAAAACATAAGGTGAGAATGACAGAATGGTCCCTATGCAAACGAACTGTCTACAAGCATAGTAGGAATGGCCAATTCTATGCAATCTCATAAATTGCATCAGCTCATAAAAAGAGGTAAAAGAAAAAGAAGTAGACTCTGCCAACCTTCTGCGTGGGACATACTCCGAAGCGGCTTTACGGATAGCCGAGTCGGCTTCTTCCCGATCAAGTCGACTCCATAAAGACCTCCACTCCCCAAGAAACACAGCACACAACTCTATACCAGTTGAATGCACACACGAATCAAACATAAACAATGGCAGCTCGCAATACTCTCCGTCGTTCTCTTCTCTACGGTAAGCCCAAGCTCCCAAGATTCCATCGCCGCATCGCATCTTCCCCGCATTTCACTCCGAGCTCCAAAAGAAAAACCTCAAAACTAACAAACAACACCAAACAGTCCCCGGTTCCTCCCAACGCTTCCTAGACAAGTCGCGCTCACTGACCGCCGATTGCCTCACCTACGACCTAGAAGACAGCGTAACTCCGCACATGAAAGTAACGGCGCGCTCCCTAGTGCGGAGAGCAATCGACCAAGCCGCGCCAGCAGGAATTCGGGAACGCGCCGTGCGAATTAACTCCGTAGACAGCGGACTAGCACTGGGCGATTTGACCGAAGTCGTGAGTGGCCTCCAGACAACAGACAACAGACATAAATAGCCCATACAACGACCAACTTGCTAACCGTCCCAGCTGCAATCACCAAACCTGACAACAATCGTAATCCCAAAAGTCAACTCCGCCTCCGACCTAACCTTCGTCACAGACGTTATAACACACACTCTATCCCAGCAACCACCAGCAGAAAGAACCCCAATCTCGCTCCTGGCTCTAGTCGAGTCCGCCAAGTCTCTGACGAACTTATCTCAGATTTGCGCCGCTTCGCCCTTGCTCCAAGGTCTGATTTTCGCAGCCGAAGACTTTGCACTGGACTTGAGCATTACGCGGACACCCTCGCTGACAGAGTTTCTGTTCGCGCGGTCTGCGATAGCTACTGCTGCGCGGGCGGCGGAGCTACCGTCGACGATTGACCTCGTCTGTACGGCGTACAAGTCAGAAAACGGGGATGGGTTGCCGCCCGCTGTGCTGCAGGAGGAGTGTTTGGATGGACGCAGGTTGGGGTTCAATGGAAAACAGTGTATTCATCCGTCGCAGGTGAAGGTTGCGGATCAGATTTTTGGACCGGATGCGCTGGAGACTGAGTGGGCTATGCGGGTTGTTATTGCAGATGAGAAGGCTGCGAGGGCGGGGAGGGGTGCTTGGACGCTTGATGGGAAGATGATCGATGTTCCTGTTGCCCATAAGGCTAGGGCTATTGTTAGGAAGGCTGAGGCTTGTGGGGTTGATGTTGATGCTTTGAGGGCTGAGTGGCAGCATCAGGAGCCAGAGTAAGTGGTTCATATATGTAGTGTTGTGTAGTATCTACGCATGATATCCCTGTACATGTTGTACATTCTAGTATGTTGTATGCTTGCATCATTTCCCTGAGAGAGTTTTTCCTACTGTAGATTGTATTCGGTTGCCTCACTAGTTCTAACAGTCATGTCAGATCATCTAAGTATATAGGAACATGCAGCCAAGAAAATTTATCCTAAAAAAGATTGCTTAAAGAACTCGATACGTTCGCCCGGCGGGGTTTGCTGCGTGCTGTGGTTGAGTCACAGACTTGGGCGAAAAGGTTGGAACAAGTTGAGTTATCAAAGGATTCAATAGATTTGGTACTGGGTATCATGCCGCTTGGACGCAAATTGAGTCGAATGACACGCTAGGTCATTGATCTTGAGCTTCTAATTCTTCGCGCTTGAGTAATTGGATTTTGCCCATAGTCAGGATGGGAGGCTCTCCGCCAGCGTTGGCCCCCACCAATTCACTAGCCAGCTCTTTGGCTACTGACTTGTCATAACTGGTTGGATCGATGCCGAGAATCCCTCCAACGTAACCGCCTCGCTCACCAGGTACACTGAATTCCCGGAATAAGTACCGCCACTCGTTTAGCCATGCTTTAACGGCCTTGCCGATTTTATCTTTGCCATTCTTGGAGTGGTGACCAGTGCCTGTGATGGCATACACCACACGAAGGCCTTCTCGAGCATGTTTGAGGAGAATCTTCTCGAGATATTCGATAGCCTCTTCTGGGTGGAGACCGTGAAGGTCAACATAAAGTTCTTCCGAAGATTCATCCAATCCCTTGTGAGAGAGATGTTGATTGCGTTCTTCGTAAAGCTGGCGTGCAGCCTCCCGGTGGCACCTGCGCATTGCGTCGTTCTCGGCCTGGCCGCGCAACGACAATGCTTTGGCAGCTCGTGCGTCATTGCGGTTCCATGCTTGGGCAGCGCTAGATACGATCGTTAGAAGTGGTGAAGATAATAGTACGCACTGAAAGCTTACCTCTGGAGGAACTTGTTTCGCACAGTGCCATGGCGAATAGCCTCTGTCCGGTATTTTATATATTGTTGGTTGGCCCGCGAACCTGTCTCCAACCAGGGAATATTTTGCGGTGGCGGAATCGACTGAGCTGCGGCACTGTTCTCGCGACCCTTCGTTTCTTTGTTTCTGGAGCCAGGTTTGGTTTTCCCGGGGGCAGGAGATGGGGTCATTCGAACTACATCCGCCAGAGATGAAGGGACGCTTTCTTTGCTCAAGCTGGTTTCGCGGTTATTATGACCGCCCCGTTTCCCATGATGCTTCTTCCCGGCATTCTTCGCATTGACCGCGGCAAGAGTCGGGAAGGCATCTGGATCGTCTACAGACGGTGCAGCAGGATTCAACTCCCGATTCTGGTGGCGGCTTGATGGACGGGAGTTGGGGCGTCCAAGATGAGTTGCGCTTCCATTTCTTTTGCCCATTCCAGGAAGGAGGCCAGGAGGCGCATACTTGCTGGCTTGATAAGCAGAAAGATGGGCAGGGTACCGGCCTGTATACTGATTTGCCCATTGATCACCGTTATCTGCCGCTTGTAGGGGTGGGAATGCATCAGAACCACTGTCTACTTGGAACGGGAGGGAGAAGCTGGTCGACTTCCATCCGTGATACTGAGATTGCCGATAAGCGCGGAAGGATCGTGCGAGAAGGGGCATCCATCACCGGCTAGACAATTTCCCATAACCCAATACCTATTCACATTTGTTAGCGAAAAAAAGATTAGTTTATCCGGAATATTCAAAAACACTCACTTGCAGACATGTGTGGTTAGGTCATGACTAAAACGACAGTCCGCTCGAAGGCATTGACCAGTGGACAGCCAGTACTTACAGACCACAGGGCTGCGACTGCTACCCAATGGCGTGACCGGGCGTGCTTGCTCCATCGTCATAGACTTGCCAACCAAAACACGACCGTCATCGTGTTGTTTCGAAATCGCCTCAGATTCTATATCTTGCGAGAGCGAAGCAATAGTGGCACCGAGATCGTAACTGTTAGCCTCCAGTGCAGCTTCTATTTCATCATTCGATCGCTTGTCACCCAGCACCGTGCGCAGGATATCATGGGGGCTCATATCCGGAACAAATTCAACCGCAGTGGCGCTAAGTGCGCCGGGGGTGCTGACCCCGCCCGTGGATGAAGTTGTACTGTTGGCATCATCTGCGACTAGCCAGTCAACGTTGTTATCGCCCCCAAGGTCACCGTAGAAGTCAGATATCTGGCTTTGGTCCGAGAACTCGTAGGCGTTCAGATTTGGGGAATGAGGGATAGGCTGCGCAAGGGCAAGCCGGGGCGATGGACGTGGGGAGGTAAACGGAGAGACAGTAGAAGATAGCGGGGGCCGCGAAAATGGCCCACGGGAGTTTTGCATCCACGAGGTACTCCCAGGGCTTGTTCCTAAAGTCGAATGAGGGGATAGCGGTGTGGATGATCGAGCCATCTGCCATGGCGCGGGCGAAGAGCGGCGAATCACGGTATGACGGACTGGAGGCGATGCGTCTGGCAGGTTTCGGTTGCGATGGCGCCAGAGGATGTCCAATACCGCATTCTCTAAAGGCGTACCCGCCAAAGAGGTGTTTGCGCGCAAGAAGTCCTCCACTTTTTCCACTTGTTCTTCCTCATCCAGTGCCTGATCTTGCAGGATCTGGAGACATTGTTCAAGAAGCTCGTCGGAAACCATGGTGTGCGCTGATATGGGTAATACGGGCGGAGGAAAGGGATCTGGAGGTGACCCTAGCGGTGAAGGGGTTGGGTCCTGGATGGGGTGTCCGAAGCTAGGCAATAGGCGCGAAAATGCTCGACGAAAGTAAACAAAAGGTCAGGCTAGAGTCGGGAATCAGAGGCACATCATGCTTCCTCTCTAGGTGATCGTGAAAGTGGAAGAGCGATAGGGGTTCCAGGATTGGTTTCAAAGTTACAGTAGGAGATGAAAGTTGCAAAAGTGATAAATGACAAGCAGATAATTACATCGCATCGTTGAATGAAAGTTGAATAAAGGGTGAAGTGACAAAGAGGGGAGGCGGAGAAGGGGGATCAACACCGGGTCATAACAGCTTATCGGCTGAGCTTGAAGTGACATGGGAGTACCTGGAATTTATTATTTCTGTGTTGACAAGATAATATAATACATAATAAGGAGATAGATGAATGTAAAAGAGAAATATAAAATTATTAGAAATAAACAATAAAGACAATATGAAGATTCATGTATCTGTGGGTTGTACTTTTATAGCACCATCCCCAACATCCGGACACAATAGATACAAATATATAGACAAATATATCCATACATATATGTAGTTATATAGGGATAGTCACATATAACATAAACTTTGATATCAACGAACGTAAACAACCTGGGGAAACATGTAGATCAACCCGAGCTCAAGTCCGGCGGATCCGCTGACTTGCAATCTGGACTTTCAGGGTTAAAACCGATTTTCAGCCTAAAAGTGCTTGGCTTACTCTTCCATGTTCGATCCATCAGGGCATTGAACACGCCCTTGGAACTTCTTTGAATATTCATCTATTGACCAGGTACCAGGTATCGCACTTTCACTGTTTTAGAGCGGTTCATCTTTTCCGGATTCGACCATCCTCCTACCAGATATTGATACCCCGGGACTATACCCATTTTGCAATGCCTGCGGATTACCAGTCCACCGCCAGGGCGTTGTCTCTTTCACCCTCATCTCCGGATCCTATACCTTCCTCTCCTGGCAGTGATGCTCAGCCGCCCTGGAGTCGCGCCGGTAGGCGAAACTCCAGCTGGTCGAGCGCGCAGGCTACAAGCTATCGCGATCAGATAATCCAGCGCGGGACAGAGTTATATGTCCGTATGAATAATATCTGGGAGGAGATGACCCTATGGAAGAAAATCGGAACTGTCTTCGCTGCCCTCTTCGTGGGCGCATCCGGTATCGCGTTCATGGTGTTGACCGGGAAGCTGTTCGTCTGGCTTGGCCCGGTCGCTGAGAAGTGGGAGACGTCTTGGCTAGCCGCCTTTATCCTGTGGCTGTGTGTCTTTTTTGTCTCATTCCCGCCTCTTGTAGGTTGGTCTACATTTGGGACTGTGGCAGGTTTTATATTTGGGGTGTGGAAAGGGTAAGAGGGTTACTTTACTATATCGGCAAAAACAGTGAGCAGAAGGCTAACTCGATATTTCTTTACAGATGGTTGATCTACGCTTCCGCCACAATTATTGGGTCGACTGTCTCGTTTTATGTTTCGCGGACAATTCTGTCTGGATTCGTCAAACGCCTTATGGAACATGATAAGAGGTTCGCCGCATTGGCCCTGACATTGAAATATGATGGCCTCAAGCTTCTTTGTATGATCCGTTTATGCCCGTTGCCCTACTCAATCTGCAACGGAGCTGTGTCCACATTTCCTACGGTGCAGCCATTGATGTACGGACTTGCGACGGCCATCATCTCTCCCAAATTGTTGGTTCCTGCGTTCATCGGTAGTCGGATACGTCTGCTCTCCGAGAAGGGCGAGGAGATGAGTGCGGGATCCAAATTCGTGAATATCTGCAGTATTATCTTTACAGTCGGTATTGGAATCTTTACCGGGTGGTATATATACCAAAGGTTTGAGCCCCCGAATTCATCTGTTGTCAATATCTTGTGGACCCATGCTGATCCCTTTCTTTCTTTTTTTCTGTTTTAGAACTTTGGCCCGCGCAAAAGAGCTCGAAGCCCAAGAGCGTGCAGATATCCGAGGTTCTCTCCAAGCTGATCATGCAGCGCACCGCCCTCATCGTGGGTTTTCGGAAGATCCTGATGTGAACAAAGCGTCTCTTACGCTTGCAAGAGATGAAGAAGAGCGAATTGGGTTCACTGATTTGGACGATGACAATGTTGACCTTGTCTTGGGTGACGACAGTGACAGTGACCAGCCGGGTCCTTGGAAAAACTCGAGGAGATCATATCACGATGAGTTCACCGATAATGACTCGGACGGATTCGCAGGGGAAGAAGAGGAAGAAGAGGCATATGGTCTGCATACTCATGTTTCAAAATAACCAAATAAATGAAATAGAATCCTGATATTGATCGTAAGATGAAGAAACATTACTCCTTAGATGAGAGAGAGCCCTTGAAGGACGAACTTCCGTGCCGCAACCTGCCGGACTGAGAAATACGCCCCGCTCCGAGGAATCAAGCCAGGGTTTTTCTACTCCATATCACTGTCCCTTCATCAAAGTGTCTTCAATTACAAGTACAATTCGTTTCAAAAACAATATTCTTGCTCTCTTTAATGGACTTTATTCTCAATTCGGTGGGAGGGTTTTTGTGGAGGTGAAACTCGATGTATGTCCTGATATCCCATGCTTTTTCAGTCTTCTTCACAGATCTATTCTCCCATACTACGTCCTTTTTACCATATTATATCTCATCTAACATAATCCTAGTTGATTCATTCATTCAGCCTGTGTTCCTTCGACTTGCCACAGATCGAATTCCTATGACCATGTCATGGGTGAACGCCTGAATATTTGATATCCACACATTCTCGGGATAGAAAGGGACTGTCGACATCACATCTTCGAATCCACAAACTACGTCTTTAGTGACGTAGTATTTTTCTTTATTTTCTCTTTCTATCGTCCTGAGACATACTCTTTTGAAGAGCTGCCTGCAGATACCCGTGTATCAACATGTATGGCGCAGCGTCCTTGAGGTTCCAGGGTGGAATCCCCCCCGAGTCAAGGCTCATACATGAACCAATATGCTCCAAATCCCGAGATTACAGTGCAGGGCCAAGAACACCTTCTATCTGGGCCGACAGAACTATCTGAACCTCCTGCGAAGCGACTGCGCATCACGCACAAGGCTTACGAAGCAGCTTCAGCGTCAATTGCTCTGGGAAATCTAGAACACAACAATTCCAAGTCGCAGACCTTCCAATCTGATGGACCCCATATTGTTGGCTCGATGGACAGGCTGTATGCCGGTGGCAGCAGCAGTACCCCGAATGAGTCGACAACCTCGACCGACTTGACATCTCCTTTTGAGCTAAAAGCGTCTACATCGCCTCCTCCCAATCCCTTACAAACTTTTTCTACACGGTCAGTTATCTTTGGACCGAATGTACTGGAAAGCGGGAAAGTCGATTTGTCTAAATGTCGACCCCGATCGTCCATCCCATCTAAAATCCACCCCTCTGTTTACGGCGAGCAGTGCGTTAGAGCGGCGTATGCATCACGGCTAAACCCGTACGCTCTCCATCGCCAAGAACAAGAATTCTTGCAAGACCACCTTTGCCACGTTCACGTCACAATCTACCTCAACATACGAAACGGAATACTGCTACTCTGGGGGAGAAATCCCATGGTGGCTGTTACCAGGGAAGAAGCACTCGGATGTGCCAAAGATTACCGATGGATGAATCTGGCTTCGTTTGCTTACGACTGGCTCGCACGGAATGGCTACATCAATCACGGATGCGTGGAGGCTCCATTGGCCCCGGTGAAACCCAAACGTGGAAGACGGAAAGAAGGGCCTACAATTGTCGTAGTCGGTGCTGGAATGGCAGGTCTGGGGTGTGCACGTCAATTGGAGAGTCTTTTCCGCCAGTATCGTGGTTCAGATGCCCTGCCTCGAGTCATTATCCTCGAGGGACGTCGAAGAGTCGGTGGACGCATCTATTCACATCCGTTGCACAGTCTCAAGTCGGAAAAGCTGCCTGACGGGCTTGTTCCAAAGGCGGAAATGGGTGCTCAGATCATTGTCGGCTTCGATCATGGCAACCCGCTCGACCAGATAGTTCGTGGCCAGTTGGCACTCCACTATCACAAGATACGGGATGTTTCGACGATTTACGATATTGATGGATCACCCGTGGACGAGGTTCAGGACGCGATGGCAGAAAAGCTCTACAATGATTTGCTCGATCGAACCGGATTCTATCGTCACAAAGCAAAGATTGTGCCAACCGCCCAGGGAAACCGCGAGATGATTGATGCTGGCCGCGAATCGGCGGTGGATGACGGACTCACTGTGCGACAGTACGAAGAGGCGAGGGCAGCTGGGACAATAGATCTATTGGTCCCCACAAAGCGGGTCCGACGAGGAATAAAGCACAAGACTGCGGAAAATGAGCCATCCGTCGACGTGGCCAGTGATCTAGCGGGGAACTCGGAAGATGACCCGGCAGCCTTGACCTGCCAGAAAACTGGATGGAAGCTTAACCCAGGATACACCGTCAACGATACTATTGAGCTGGACCAGGTTGCCAAGGCGTCTCAGACACAGACTCTCGGCGCAGTGATGGACGAAGGTGTCAAGCAATATCAGAACATGCTTCCAGTGACAACCAAGGATATGCGGTTGATGAATTGGCATTTCGCCAACCTCGAGTACGCCAATGCAACCAACGTGGACAAACTTAGCCTATCAGGATGGGACCAGGACATCGGGAACGAATTCGAGGGTGAACATTCCCAAGTCATTGGCGGCTACCAGCAGTTACCCTACGGGCTGTACATGCTGCCAGAAAAGCTCGATGTTCGCACCGGCAAGATTGTCACCGAGATCTCTTACGACACAACTGGGTCCAACAATAACCTGAAGGCAGTTGTCCAGTGCGAGGACGGAGAAAAATTCCTAGCAGATCATGTCGTCTTCACCGGTTCTCTCGGGGTCCTGAAGCAGCAGAAAATCAAATTCAAGCCTCCTCTTCCGGACTGGAAGCGTGGCGCAATTGAAAGACTAGGATTCGGAATCATGAACAAGGTCGTTCTAGTGTTCCAAGAGCCGTTCTGGGACACCAAGCGAGATATGTTTGGCCTACTCCGTGAGCCGAAGAACCCTGCTTCTATGGTCCAAGAAGACTATGCGGCCCACCGCGGTCGATTCTATCTGTTCTGGAATGTCATGAAGACTACCGGACTCCCATGCTTGATTGCCCTCATGGCTGGTGATGCAGCCCACCAAGCAGAATCTACACCAGACGAAGAAATAATTACAGAGGTCACTGGCCAACTTCGAAACATCTTCAAACACACTACAGTTCCCGATCCTCTGGAAACCATCATCACCCGCTGGGGCCAGGACCCATTCACATACGGCAGCTACTCCTATGTAGCTGCAGAAGCCTTCCCAGACGACTACGATCTGATGGCCCGGTCAATCGGCAACCTCCACTTCGCCGGTGAAGCCACCTGCGGCACCCATCCAGCAACCGTCCACGGAGCATACCTTTCAGGCCTCCGCGCAGCATCAGAAATAATCGAGCCGATATCCGGACCCATCGTAATGCCTCACCCACTCGTCCCTGAGAAGTCAAAAGTAACTCGAAGCAAATCCTCCACGCCAAACGGCCAAACGACCAAGAAATCAAGAACGAGAGGCAGCTCATCCCTCTCCTCCACCGAAAGCCCAACAACCACGCAATCAAAGCCCCCCTCAACCTCCACCTCCCGCAAACCAACCTCAACCGAAAAGTCCCGCCGCGACGCCTACGACCAAGCCCTATGGACAACAATCTACGCCGAGCTGGGCTCCGCACCACCACGCCCCGCAAAATCAGGCCTAAACCCCTTCCTCTTCTACCAAAAAGACTACTGGGCACGTTGCCGCGACCAATGCGACGAAGCCCGCCGCGCAGCATCAAACAATCCGAACGCAAAGGCTCCACGCGACGAGATCCGCGCCGCACTCAGGCCAGATGTGGCGCTCTGCGACGCCAGCTGATAAAAAGCCGTACCTCGAACAGACGGAGATTAACCGCCGTGCTAATGCCGAGGCTTGGGAGAAGTGGAAGGTTGACGTTGCTGAGTGGGAGCGGAAGACTTTTGTCGTTAAGGATCGGTGGTGTGCGGAGAATCCGTTTGATGAGTGGGTTATGCCGGAGTACGTTGATGAAAATGCGTCGGTGCCTGTGCTTGCTACTGCCTTTACGACTGTGCCTGCTTTGAAGTCTGAGAAATGAAGATTTATCGGCGTTTATGGTGGGTAGATTATCTGCGTAGACGGTTAGGGAAAAGAAGGGAAAAGAAGGTAATTCGTCTCTGTAGAGAGGATTGTTATGAGTATCGTTTCAGCCTTAGTGATATCAATGAATGACAGTTTTAATTCTGATGGTCTTGTTTACGTAGATAAGTAAGAGAATGTCAATGTTGTAAACCTTGGAACGTATTGAACATGATATGGGAGCTTCTGTTTTCTTCTATTTCTATTTCTATGGGTAGTATAGGCATCCCAAGCAGACCAATTGATATAGAACCACAGAGACCACTCGATTTCCTCTTTCATGATGGGGAAAAGGAACAGGGAAGAAGAAAAAGAAAAAGAAAGACGTAAGGAAACCCATCAAAATATGCACGGGGAATTTGGAAATGAGATATCGCATAAAACAGATATAAGTCTAGAAGCAAGAAGAATCCTCGATACACGCGCCAAACATCATGTTTTCATGCATCATGACAACGAGAAATAGGAGAGAATAGTGGGAGAAAGGGTGTATATATATTTAGAGCACGGGCTTTGCCTCATGAGTCTCGGTCTCGGCGAGGAACTTCTCGGCCTCGAGAGCAGCGACACAACCAGATCCTGGTAGAATATTGAGTTAGCCAAATTGCAATTACTATGAGTGAGATGCTGAAGTATGAACATACCGGCACTGGTGATAGCCTGGCGGTAGCGCTTATCCTGAACATCACCGCAGGCGAAGACACCCTCGACGTTAGTGAAGCTGGTACCGGGCTTGGTGATGATGTATCCCTCGTCATCAAGCTCAACCTGGCCCTTGACGAGACCACTGGCGGGGTCGTGGCCAACAGCGTAGAAAAGACCGTTAGCCTCAACGACCTCCTCCTCGTTAGAGCGAACGTCCTTGACACGGAGGTGGGTCATGAGGCCGTTAGGCTTGTTCTCGCCGATGACCTCGGTAGCGACGGTGTTGAAGCGGACCTTGCACTTGGGGTGGGCAAGGAGACGATCAGCCATGATGTTCGAAGCACGCAGCTTGTCCTTGCGAACGAGAACAGTCACGCTGCTGCCGTACTTGGCCAAGAACATGGCCTCCTCGGCGGCGGAGTCACCACCGCCAATGACGTACAGGGGCTTGTTACGGAAAATGGGCACGGCGCCGTCGCAGACGGCACAGGCACTGATTCCGTTCTGCCAGTAGGTCTCCTCGCCGGGCAGGTTCAGACGGCGGGCGTTGGCGCCTGTGGCAATGATGACGGCGTCAGCGGTGCGGACGGGCTCGCTGCCCTCGTCGTCGTTCCACTCGGTCCACATCTTGAAGGGCCGGGAGGAGAGGTCAAGCTTGGAGATGGTCTCTGTGATGATCTCGGTGCCGAAGCGCTCGGACTGGGCGCGCATGTTGTCCATGAGCTCGGCGCCGCCGATGCCGCTGGGGAATCCGGGGAAGTTCTCGACGTCGGTGGTCGTCGTGAGCTGACCACCGGCGGCGGTGCCGTTGGCGAGCATGCCCTCGTAGAGGACTGGCTGGAGCTCTGCGCGCGAGAGATAGATAGCGGCAGTGTGGGCACCAGGGCCGGAGCCGATAACTGTGGGGGAAAGCGTTAGAACTCTGATATCAGAGAAATCTGGGTGAACCGGATCATTCAATCTCTTCGAGAAACCACTTACTGACTACTTTAGAGTGCACCATTCTGGCGGTATTGGAATTGACGCGCGACGGCGTCGGAAATGACTTAGAGAAGACCGAGGCCGAAGGAGGAGATTGTTGGTGAACGGTAGTGGCCGCAGTGGCAGTCAATCCAATGGATCGAAGGGAGGGAAAACGACGAAAGGCGGAGGAAAACAGCTTGAAGGTGTTTCTGAGAAGTGGAGGGGAAAAGAATAAGGAGAGGGGAGGTATAATATCTTTTTTCGGAGGGGCAGTGGAGACCGGGATTAGGTGATGGAAGTTGATTGATAAACCGGCGAGATTCAGGAAGACTGGATCCTCAGACAGGATGCGATTGGATTCTTTGTCTTTCTGGGGTTTCCAGACCACGCGAGATTAGAGATAATTCGTTTAAACTAGGCGATTTAAGGCAATTTAGAGCAATTTCAAGGCAATTCGAGTCGGCTGAATCAGGTTGAGCATCGAGGCTCCGAGGCTTTCTAAGCACATGTCACGTGAAAGGTCGAGACCGCTGATGTAATCTCAGAAATCTGATCAGATCACTCCGAGGCGCTTCTTCCCGGCCGAATTTGTATACTTTGGCTCTACTTGAGAGATCGTGGATTGAACATCACATGTCGGTTTGGACGGATTTAGGGGAATCATTCATCAAACACTATCTCAAGTCATAAAAATCCACACAAATCATCAGATCGCAGAAAAAGAAAATGCCACACCCAACTTCAATATAGTACATTAGATTACGCCGAACCACTTCTTCCGTGGACGGCTACGCTCCTCAGGACTGCGGGAGTGTTCAGCCATCATATGCGGTGGCAGACGTTGAGGGACTTCGCCCTCAGAATCCCCATCCTCTTCACTCCCAGGATATCCCTCGTACTGTGGTTGATGTTGTTGGCTTGTGGCGGCGTTAGCGCGGGTATTATTGATAAGGTCGTGGTCCTCGTAATCGTCTTGGTCATCGTCATCACTGTAATCTTCTTCTTCGTCGCGCTGTGCATCTGCTTCCCCATTGTTCTTTTTGCGGCGGGGTAAGAACTTTCTCCAGCCCTTGACAATCTGCGTTGGGGGCGGGTCATACTCGGTCCCGTCGTAGTGCAGTGCTGGGACGAGCAGTTTGTAGGGTGTGGTAACACCCGATGGGTCTTGTGGGCTGATCTCTAGGTTCAAAGTGATGGCGAGCCCGCCTTCTAGGTTGATGTAGGCGCCTGCGCCGTCATCGCCCTGCTTGGCGGCTTTCTTTGCCGCTTTTTGGCTGAGATTCGTTGGTCGCCGGTGGAAGTTGCCAGGTCGTGGAGGTGCCGGGCCCCCAGGTCCTGGGAAATAGCTGTCCCCGTTCTCGTGGGGCTGAGCGGGCACATCAACGCTTGCACGGCGATTGAAAGCAGCCTCGTCGCCTCGACTGAAGCTCATTGTCCTCGTGGGAGGTGGTCCACGGGTAGAAAGGCGCCTGAGAATGCCAGGCTTCTCGGTAGACCCCTTGTCTCCACGACCCAGCGACAATGTTCGCTGCAGCTTATTTGGCCGAGGTGGTGGGGTCTCTATTATCTCCGACTCGGGTGTATCAGGTGGAGTGGACCCGGGCTTATACTCACGGATCGAACACCAGTTTCGCCGAGGTAGTAATCGCTTGTTGTTGCGGGCTTTGCCATTCACATCCTGGACAAAGATGGGAACGACATCCTCGTCTGTGTTCGAGTCCATGTGGTGGACTGTATTCCGCTTATTGAGCGTATCCGCAATGAGGTCGGTCTCCGGAATGTCTGCAATAGCAGACGAGATAACATTCGGCATGTATCGATAATCATGGTCTTTCGCGATATTCAATTTGGGATTCGAATAGAACTGCCCAATTGCAGCCAGGTGGACATCACCACTGAAGGATCAAGTTAGTTTTTTATCGTTCGGAATCTGGAGTGCAGTGGCTGGTCTTACCTGAGTATTGTGATCCGGACTGACTTCTCCGCGGCCAGATCCTGAAGATCCTCAACCAACCATGTGCGCTCGGACTTGAGGTGCTTGCCAGCCCAATGGTCATCAAAGACCTCCACATTCCCGCCAGACCGATTAACAAGCCCACCAAGTACTCCAGCCTTGCCGAGGGATTTGCGGCTGTTCATGAAATTGCGCAGCATTGCCTGGGGTCAACGTTAGTTTTAGGTCTGATCAAAGACAGAAGCAACCAGATTACATACCACTCGGGGGTAAGCAACAGGGACACTTGTGAGAACGACCAAATGCTTTGTCTCTCCTTTCATGATCTCCCTGTGGCAGCGGTCCCACAATAAATCACAGGTCTCTTCGCTGAGAACTTCATTGCTCTGCAAAAACATGTCAGTGTAGTCCACAAGTCCGAAAGATGGAGTATCCATACCCGTCGCTCAGTGCGGCAGTCAAGAGCCAAGAGTGAAACTCCCTGGCCCAGAGACATGAACAGGTTTCGGCTCTTCTGTTCAATATATGGACCAGGATGAGCACCAAGAAGCCAGCTGGGCTCATCTGTCTCGGTTTCATCGGGAACACTGTGGTGCTGGAACAGCAGGTAATACTTGAAAGCAATCTTTCCAATTCCAGAGATAACAGAAGTCTGCATGAAATCATCGTGGTAAGAACCAAAGCCTTCAAAAATTTCATGATCGTTCCACATGTTGACCATGGGAATCTGCGAGTTCGCCAACGAGAAGAGGCCCTGAGAGAACCATGCAGCGTAGCGCTCCAGGTAGAACTGCTCCAATTCAGCCCGGAACTCGGGTGTGAATGACGCCCCATATCTCTCGGCAATGTTTTTAATCTTAATCCATTCCTGGAAGAATGTCGACTCTGTGATAACCGAGTCGTTGAAGACCTGATCGCCTCCACCGATCATCACATGGAACGGACGAGTCTGATGCTCATTAAGAATATCTCGCCAAAGAGGATCAGGTCCGCAGACTCGATCAGAGTCTGCAGACGGGCTGAACCCGTTACCACTGTGGAACATTATGTTCATGGATTCTCCAACCGGGGGTACCCAGAATCCCAAGGCAGGTCCCTGGTTGATCCGGTAAGCGATTCGCTGTTGTGTTGTGCTCAGTTCAACCTCTAGGTTGAACCGCCAAAATGTTACATCTCTTGCGGCATCGGCGTACAGACGAGCTCCTGGGATGTCCCGGTGCAGACTCACGCTCTCGCCATCGACGGCATGCATCCGGTTGGAAGGCATGGGTTGTTTGGCGCCTTCGCTGGTGTAGTCGATCATACTAGGTGAGAGCTCGTAGATGCCATCGTCGTTCTCGACGAACGATAAGTCGACTTGCTCCTCGACATGTTCAACTGGCTTCACGTAAAGTGGCCGCCCATCACGGCCAATCTTCATGAGCCCGGCGGTTGGGTCAACATATTCGGGAGCCAGTTGCATTCCATCTTCATGGCTGATCACGACAGGTGGAGGAGGAAGAAGATCCATCGGTTGAGAGAATAGTCTCAGTGTGGGCGGAGTTTCGTAGGAGGAGCGAGAATCTTTAGTCACTATCATGATAGATCCTCGCCATATATCTTTCTCAATGGGACCGCTGGCTCCATCAACCTTAACTCGCTTGATACCTGTGTATCGTAGCAAAGGTCCACATCGTAAGAAGAGGTGGGGTTGGAAGTTCTTGTGCTCAGTCATTCCTAGTGAGCGTTAGTAAATACATTTCGATGATTTTGTGACCAAAAAAGTAGCTTGGGGACCATGATGGCGGAGGATCTCACCTGTCAACTTCTGAGCTGGGGACTTGTAGTTCTTGGGAAGAGCCCTGCTCTTTCTGCGATCTTTGCTACCACCACCTTCCCACCACGCTTTGCTGCGGTCCATATCAATATTCGGGAAATCAAAGTCAGGGGCCGCAAGCCGAGCAGGCTGTGCATTCCTCCACTCAAATATTGGTGGGGGCGTAGGTGGTGGGACATTGAAGGACACAGACTGTTTCTTGGGCTTGACCTGGGACTCGGCACTACCCTGAGGCGGTGCTGTTAAAAGTTCGTCTGTCGTCTCCGCTCTTAGGCCAGCAGGAGCCTGCATAGGTCGAGGGCCTGCTTGGGACATCGAGCGACTGTGGCTGATATTGTTGGCAGGTGCTGGTTTCGTGGCAGGTCCGCTCACTGTGACTGATCGTCTGGGTACATTGCCCATCTTAGCTGATGATGGGATAGCGGCTTCTGCACGTGTATATTGGGGGTCCTCGGGTCGGCGAATAGATGGGTATTGAGGATTCGTTGAAATTGTCCTGTTGTGACGCACAGCCGTGCCTTCTGGTTGTCGCTGTTGTGGTGGTGCAGCCGCATGCCCATTGCGCATGCCATCCCCAATTGGAATATCCCTCCGTTCATTCCTTCTGACTGTGCCGGGGACTGGTTGGCTTTCTGGCTGCGCACGTTGTGTTGATGCTTCTCGTCCTACCGCTGCCACCAATTCGGCTTTCTCTTGTTCAGCCTTCTTGCGCGCAAGCCGCTCTCGGGCTTTGATTTCCGCCTGCTGTACTCGTGCCCGCTTCTCTTCCTTGCTGATTCCAGTCAAAGTTACTTCCAACTTTTGGAGGGGAGATCGCTCTGATGCCCAATCTCGCCGGGAGTCACTGGCGGAGACCGAGCGTGTGGTATTGGACCGAGTCGGGGGAGACACAGGCGGTGGTGACTGGACATGAATCTCAGGCATAGCTGCACTGGGTTCTTGGGGGTGAGGCTCTGTGGGAAGGCCTCGTGGTGTTGTAGCTTCCACTGGTAATTCTGAAGTGGATGGAGGAATCGGCTTGCGGGTTGTATAGTTCAGGTTTCCTTCGGGCTGGTTTCGGGCTCTGGCTGAGAAAGACCTGTCTACCTGCCCTGATGAAGTGGTATCTCTTGCGCTGGTGTGAGCTGTCTTCGTCTCATCATATTCTGCGTCGTGTTCATGACTTTTCATGGAAGAAGCCTTTTTGCGATTGCGCCTTCCTGGAGCTCTTTGCGCTCCGTTGGAAATGTGGGGGTTGGAGCTGCCATTTGCCATATCGGGCGATCCACGCATTGCCATAGCAGCCATGATGTGTGTTTGCG